ACAGATAAAAAATTTCAGCTACTTCAATTATAGTAATCAAGAAGGCAAGTTTTAAGCGAGGATAGTAGATGCTTCAGGACGTCACACTAACYAGCTCAAACGCAGTAGAATAATCCAACCAAAACCAATGAGTTAAACTTACATATCCTTTATGTTTGTAGGCACGAAAGAAATCCAGAAGCGGCTGCATACAATCTTTGTTTCGGAACATGATTGAAGAGAGGTGGCGGTTGAGGAACTGAACTCCATTGCCAATGGATGAAGAGCGTGACAYTCGAGGAAATGTAGCATTAAATGGTTCGAGATCCAGTTCAAGCACAAAAGGGTTCCTACTCCTATAACATAATGACAGTCAGGCACATGGTCACAGGTATTTTATTCCACATGCATAATGACAGTCAGGCACATGCATAATATTACTTTTTCATTTTTCATCTTCTCAATAAGCAAACAGTCCATTTTGTCAGGTTGCTACTTTGGCACACACACACACTGTGCACACAACATCAGTTATACAGGAGTAAAGACCATTTAAAACAGAATGTAAATCCTCATGCATAACTATCTATATCTATATACACACACACAGAGCAGGGCTATTCAATCTTGAACTTAGCCCTGCTCTGTCCAAAACCAAGGATTAAATACAGTTAACATAATGGGTTTAATAAACCAAGGACTTAGCCCTATTCAATCTTGGACTTAGCCATGCTCTGTCCAAAACCAAGGATTAAAAACAGAATGCAGTCTCATTTGCAAACCACATGCCCTTGTGTGTGTGTTCCGTTTTGTGTTCCACTTAAACAAAAACAAGTTGTTTCTGTTTCTTAAACCTACAGCYGGTGGAAACTGCATTATGTTTCTGTTTCTTAAACCTGCAGCATCCTGTTTCTGTGTGTGTATAAGTTGAAATGGAAACAACTTCTGCTGCATTTGTATTTTGTATGTTTCATTGAAAATTYAGGGTATGCAATTTATAAATGCAGTCAAGGGTTATACCACAAATGTAATGTAATATGTTACTCAAAAGCAATTTTGATGAAATAAGGAGCAAACTTGCCAAAAGAAGATAGATACAGAAAAGATTGTTTGATGGAATGATGTATCATTTTGAAATTTGAAACATGTAATGAAATCCACATCGTGCAAACCTAGTCAAATCCCAGTTTCAATTTTATGATTCCCTACTCATTTAAAGTTTCTACTTATAGGCATGTTCATGTGAATAAAAATATGAACATGTAACAGCTGYTGTATCTAAACACACACACATAAGGAGCAGTTTGCTATTTTGAACAAGTCTAGTGTTTTAAAAACTGACTAATGTTGCTGCTGTATCTAAACACACACACACACAAAAGAAAAAAAAGTAGATAAAGTACCCACCTGGAGAAGAATTCTCAATCGTTCAAAAGGAGCAACAGCAGTTCGTGATCTGCAACATAATGTAATGGAAACAAACTTAATTGTGTGAATAAGATGATGAAGCTATGCAGCCACTTCAAACATCAAACATCAAAACCTTTTAGAACATAGTTGATTGGACAGATCTGCTTGTAAGGGCCATGTGCAGACTTAATGGACAGAATATGGAGTTCCTATGWCTTTCATGTTATAAACATCTCTTTACATGTCTACATATAGTTTCAAACTTTGTCTTAAATGCTTCATGATYTCATGTGTATATCAGATTAAAATTTGCATCAAAACAAGAACCTCTATTAATTTATCTTATTTTGGGAATGTTGTAGTGAAATTGAGAGCATAGTGACTACATGACCAAGACAGTCACCTGTAAAGAAACAGTGCAGCCAAAACAAATGACATGTTGCTAAGCAAAAACAAAAACAGCAGAACAGTCACCTGTAATATCCAGACAACGCCAACACAGCCCTGTGTCGAACAAGTGGAATCAATGGCTGAAGAACTGCAAATATATAGAAAGACAAGAATATATAGAATCAACAAGAAAATCCATAAAGTTAATTACAAAATAATTCAATGGCAAGAAAGACAAAACCTCGTAAGTGCCCTGCATCATTGTATTCCAGTATGTAAAATCATATCCAGTAGAGAATCACCTAATAATACTCTCTGTGTGCCAGTGTAAAAAGAGATCCACTTTGACTTCGGATGTCAAACAAATTAGGTTTCAACTTCAAAAATAGGCTTTCCAACCTTACAAGTGCTACAAATAGTTGTACATTGGTATTGAAGTTCATACCAAATTTGAAATGAGTACTTGTTACAGGAGAATCCATTTCAAGATGTTCTGCAGTAATTAAACCCATCCATTGCACACATCTTGATGGTGGGTGAGACGCATCCAAATGTACACACAACTGAAGATTCATAGGAAGGAAAAGCACAAGTGAAAATGCTCAATTTTAAAAGGATATTGATGATTGTAATAATTCAAATTCACAAACTTATGATATGATGAACAACCTAAAACCTAAAACCCTAAAATCAAGCAACCGTGAATCAAGCAACCTTGAATATAAAGTTAAGAATCGTACCTCTTGCGAGAGATGCAGGGCGAGAGCGAGAGCGAGAGATGCAAAGCGATCGGGAGAGCGAGAGATGCAGAGCTTTACGAAGGAGATCGTTTATAAGGGTGAGTGGAGAGCATGGGTAGGAGAAGATGCCTCTGCGAAGAGCAGAGTGAGTGGATGAGTGGAGACTATGGGTTTGGAGAAGATGCGCACGCGAAGTGCAGAGTCACGTGCTTGGAGAATCTGGTTTTGGGAGAAGTGAGTGGAGTAAGTAGTGGAATGCATTAAAGGGTGGTACGGTATAGATTATGCATAAAAAGGTTGTACATTTTTAAGACTTTAAGACTTTAAGCATCGAGAGGTTGTACTTTATGCATTTTAAGTTGTTTTTAAGACTTTTTTATGAAATCTGCTTTATAAGGTAGTATAGATTATATATTTAATTTTGATTATTTTTAACATAAATGTTTTAGATACACTTTTAAAAAGTAACTAAATATTTTTATTTAATTTTAAAAAACTTAAATTTTTTCTTAATCTTTAGAGAAGCTTAAGAAAGTGTTTCTAAAAATTGATGAAACTTTTTAGAGACATTTTTTTTATAAAAGCTTCTCTAAAACTTTCAACGACATTTCTTGTAACGTATAATTAGCCTATAAATCCTTCTCTAAATGTCGTCCAACCTTTAGTTACATTTCTCATTTTTGTCATTTAAATTCTTCTCTATAATGTAGCTTTAGATACACTTTTAAAAGCTTCTCTAAAGGTTTCTTCTCTAAAGCTCATTCCTCTTGTAGTGGTTCTTTGGAAGACTGGGCGTAAAGGGCACATAGGCAATGAATCGGGTTGAAAATGAAAGTCGGCAAAGTCTCCATATAATATATACATATATATATATATGTGGGGGGGCAGGTTCAAACGAGAAAGCAATCAATTTGCGGGAAGGCGATAAAATATCTAAACCACATAACCCATTGAAAAATACCATAAGTAAAAAAATGGAAAATAATTTTATAAACTAAGATAATTATCATTTTGAATTCGATCAAATATCCTTGGATTTAGGTGGATCCGATCCGATCTAATATTTATTGGATGTTGGATTTTGCCATCTAATCCAATACAACTAACATTAGACATTTGATCTAATTCAATCCAATTCAATAGATGATTGGGTCAAAAAGGTTCTATTCATTGGATATTACTATTGGTTATCCATTTGATCGGATTGGATTCATCCAATATTTTGATTCAATTGCCAACCAGTTATTCATATATCTTCTTAAGTAATTAAAAACAATGCATATGAATATCAACTAAAAAACAATATCGTAAAATATTAATAATTATATATAATTATTAATTGGATTGTCACCAAATTGGATCGGTTCGGTTTTATTAGATGTTGGATTGTCATCCAAGAACTGGCCGATCCATGTCGGAAGTTGAAATTTTGGATCTTATCCGCTGCAATTACAATTGTACATCCAATATGATCGGTCGGTTCTAATTGAATGGTCGATTTAAATTGGATTGGATGACTTTATGACCCATCCATAAAAAATTAAATGTAACAAAAACACTATTTGAATAGCTTAAAAATCTCATTTTATCATTTCGATTTATTTATTTTTTAACTTTAATTAATTCATAATTTTTATCAAGTTTTATACGATTTTCTTTCACTATTTTTAAGCACTTTTGATAATATTATTTTCACAATTTTCATCAAATATCATATGTGACATCCACAATCGTTTTATTATTATTTTTTTTCATTATTTTTTCTCTATTTTTTGGATCCACGTTTTAAATTACATATGATTAGTTAAGTTTGACATATGATTTGTTACGTATCACATATGATCCACTTTGTGAATTTTGTACTTATCACATATAATAATACATATATAAGTATAAGTTATATACTATCAAATGTGATAATATCCGTCCGAGTATAAATCACGTATTATTACATTTGATAATATTTGTATCATAATAAAATCTATAAATGTAAATATACGTAATCACATATGATTAACAAAAATATCTACAATTATCATAGATGATTGATACGGTTATTGAACAAATTATCATAGGTGATAAAAACATATAATCAAACTGCTACAAACTTATCTTTATGATGGAATCGATTTATTATAGATTATTACAAATATATTTGAAATACAAACTCAATCCCAATTTATTAGGAATTATTCCCACAATTACAAATAATTCTATACACAAAATGACAATCATACCATTTTTAATTCCATTTAATAACATTCCATTAATTCATTTATTAAATAAGGTCTACAACCCATAATCCTTTTTGCAAATTAACTTGTCTCTTGCATGCTCCTCCTCTTATTATATATATATATATATATAAGAGAATATTGCCTATTGAAGATAGCTTTGAACGATATTCATCAAGAACATTGCACGTTGAAGATTCATGTAAGGCTTGTCCCATTTTGAAATATATATATATATATATATATATTATAGAGGTTCTGTGGGATTTGAAGTGGAAGATGGGAGGAGATGTTGGTGCTGGCCTCCGCTATCCAAGTCATCGAAGATAACTTTAGACGGTTTAGATTGCATGTAAATTGAATAAAGTGCAAGCTGTGCAACTCCAAGTACAAAACCAGTTCCATTTGGTACCTGTTCAACAAAAGTTTGAAACTTTTAGTATCATGGATGATGATATTTAACCTTCTCAAAAACCCAAACCCCTAAATATATTAACAAGCAATTAATGGGTTTATGTATTCTAATTCTAATGCAATAAGAAACTAATAAAAGGGTTTAATTATGTGAACAACTTAGCCATAATAATCTATACTAGCTACATTATAAGATACCTGATAAAAAAAACTCTTAAAAGTCATTTGTATACATAAAATATTGTTTATTGATACATATTACTTAGAATTCAAAAATATAAGTAAATTATACGTAAATACAATTTATTAAAGCTCTATTTTGAATTTGTGTAAGTAAGTACATATAAATATAATCAAATACATGATAAACATCTCATTTTAGATATGAAAAAGCTAAAATACAATTAGGATAATCATTATAAATTAAATTATATTATTAATTCAAAAATAAATTACTTCATTATTAAACCTTAATTAAATTATAATGAAAAATCAAATTAAAAAAATTACACAAAAAACAAGAATTTATAAATATTTAATTTGATTCTAATATCGATATTTTTTTTAAAGTTTTTATAGGATATTCAAATTTATACTTTATTCAAATATGAAAAATTAATGTTTTCTTAAAATCATATTATAACATTAACAAAGACAAAAAATAAAAAAACATTAAAATCAAGATATATTTCACTATATTATACAGATAACTTTTTATTCATTCAAAATGATAATCTCATACTTTTATTTAAAATCCTTCCTTGTCGTATTAAAGAACCCTTATCCACTCTTCCCCTAAATGCGGTTTGTTCTATGGCATGACACTTCAATATTCCAAGTCGTCTTTTTGATATTACCTAATAATTATTTCATTATCAGGATCTTATTTTTATTTAATTACATATATATATATATAGAGAGAGAGAGAGGGGGAAGTTGACGGAAGAACCCTAAAAAAAATTGAAGAACACTAAATTGCTTACAAATTATTTGTATAAACATATGTATACCGTTCAAATTAATTGTTATCAGGGTGTTCTTCAATTTTTTATTTTTTTGCGGTTTTCCTTAGGGTTGGGTTCCGATGAGAATGAGAGTTAAGGTTATAAACGTAAGAGGGATCTCTACCGTTAGATACACATTTAGAATGAGATGCATTGAGATGCAGTCAATCAGTCACCGTATCAAGCGTGATTTATGAGGGAGTTTGAGATTAAAGTTAATCACGGTCCCAGATCGCGTCTTATGCTTCTCACTTTGTATATATAAGGGCAAGAGCATGTGAGAATGAGAGTTAATGTGAGAAGGATAAGAAGAGATCTAGACCCTTAATCACCTTTAATTTCAAACTCACCTATGAACCGTGCTTGATACACGGATTGATATGGTACATCTCCGTGCATCTCATCCTTCAATTTACGAGAAGGCAAAAATCAATATAAACCTCATAATTCATTAATTAAAAAATATCATAAATAAAAAATAGAAAATAATTTAGAAATTAGGATAATCATACCATTTTGAATGGGATCAAAGTTAATTGTAACAAAAACACTATTTAAATCTCTTAAAAATCTCATTATATCTTTTATATTTATTTATTTTTGAATTTTTTAATTTTAATCAATTCATTAATTTTTTTATCAAATTTTATATTTTTTTCTAGATACATTTTTTTATAAAAAAGATTCACAATTTTCATCGAATATTATATGATCCAATATGAGAATTTTTGTATATATCATGTATGATAATATATGTCTGAATATAAGTGACGTATTATCACATTTGATAATATTTACATCACAAAAAAATCTACAAATATAAATATACATAATCACATATGATTAAAAAAATATGTAGCATTATCACATATGATTTATACGATTATTGAATAAATTATCAAATGTGATAAAAACTTATAATCAAGTTTATAAATATATCTTTGTAATAAATCGTTTTGGAAAACAAACTCAATCACGACTTGATTAGGGATTATCACCATCTCTTTAAATTAATTTAATAATATACATGGACCATATTCTTTCACGCCTTCTGCAAATTAGGTTGTTTCTCGTATGATCATCCCCCCCTCTCTCTCTCTCTATATATATATATAGAGAGAGAGAGAGAGGGGTGAAGGTTCAAATACAAACTAATCTCAACCGTTCATCTATTCATGAATAACTGGTTTAAAAAATATCTTGATTTTTTTCTAATATAAAATGTTGATCATAGTTAATTAAAAAACTCTAATCATTTTCTATAACATTCAAATAATAATAATAAATGAACCTTATTTGTTCAATGAATATCTCAATTAAATGGTTTGTATGAATAAGATGATTTGTATTTTAAACCTTATATATAGGCGTAATCATTTATTAACCCATTAATTTGTATTAATTTACAAATTAATATGTGCCATTGTTTTTTTTTTTTTTTGTCAATGGTTATAGTAAATTGAAGGTTATAAACTTGATGAAAAAGGAAAAAAGTTAAATGTAATTAAATGTACGACAATTTTGGAACAAATTGTTTTTTATTTTTGGAAGATAAATTCAAATATTTTTGGAATTAAATTTCTTTCGTATGGTTTTGTTACAAAAAAATCTACCAAAGTTCATTAATGAAACTAGAAAGTGAACGGCATAATTAAGGTAGTTTTTACAAAGTTTATAAGTGAAACAATGATTTTTGTTTAAAGTTCATAAAACTACTTTTGTGTATGAACTATGGTCGTTTCAAAGTTTTTACCTAAGTTCATAGGTAAAATAATTATTTTGTTTATAAAGTCCATATATGTTTTTTTTGTTGCAAGATTTAGTTTTATGATCTAGGTATGAATGATTTGCAGGAAAAGATTTGAAGTTGAAAAGTTCGAATTTTAGAGAGAATGAGATTATGAAATGTGTAATTAAGTGAATGATAAAAAAATATGATAAGTGAACAAGATAATTTTTGGTAAGTGCATGAGATAAATTATGGAATGTGATAATTAAGTGAATATAGTATCAATACATGAAAAAGACAAAAATATACCGGTTTGTGAAGCTAATACTAATTAATGGGTTAACAAATAATTATGCTTATATATATATATATATATAGAGAGAGAGAGAGAGAGAGAGAGAAAGAGACTTGGGATCATGTGAGATCATGTTGTTTTTGTGAGACCCGTGAGACCATTTTTTTACAGTTAAAACTTCATAGCAAAACACTGTGAAAGTAACCTTCACAGTTTTTTTGTTGTAAAGGTTGAAATTCTTTTTACCTTCACAATGTTTTTGCTGTGAACTTTCAAGTGTAAAAATGTGGTCTCATGGGTCTCACAAAAACATACTGGTTTTACATGAACCCAATCATATATAACGTGTTAATGTTACGTTATATTTTGTGAAAAGTGATGAAGATGACATAACTTAATTTGTTCTTTCACTAGCTTTTGTGATTAGGGACAACTTCACACGATATAAGGCAAAACCTTTGAAATATGTCATGTAAACTTTATATTTCTCACACTTCCGAAAAAGGTATTTCTCACTTAACCTAATATATGTATATAATGTTTACATGATATATATATATATATATATATATACACACACACACATACATTGGGCTAGGTTCAAACGAAAAAGCAGTCAATTTATGAGAAGACGAGAAGTTCCAAAAATCATATATGATTACACGTGATACGAAAAATTAATCGTATATGCTTAAACACATCTTGCGTTGACCGCCACATATGTGTCATGAACATCCCTTACAACTTTTGGTCGCGTTCGCTAAGTTGTCTGCATCCATTTTGGATGTGTTTATGATAAATATAAAGATTGAAGATTGTGATACACCATATCACATCCCTTAATCTATGCCTCCAATTCACATCCCTTGATGTATGCCTCAATATCTTTTGATTTGATTCTTGTATTTATTTTTGTGATCATCTAAAATATTTGTTTTCATTTTTCTGTAATTATAAATACATGTTAACAACGTTGTAATAGACAAGTTCTTTTCCATCAATTTCTAGATGGTATTAGATCTCTAATTGATCAATTCTCCTAACCTTGATCTCCTATGACACAACCCTTATTCGTCTTATCTCAATGGCCTTCAATGATCAATACTTCATCCCAAATAGTACCGAACCCAACAATCACTCACTTAGGTCTCCTCACTCTTCTAACAAGGCAACCCCGCCCCTACCAAGGTCGTTGTCAATGGTGTAAAGAGGATTAACATTATGTCATCCAATACTTCATTTTTTTCCAACAATTTCCTCAAGTAGTACCACCTGCTTCATCCTCTCATAAACCTGTGTTCGAAAGGTATTAACAACCACTTCACAACCCTAGAGCCTATATTGTCAATGCCCCGTTTTGACCTATTGGTGGTTACTTGATAGAGGTGCCTCTCATGACGTTACCAACAATCTAAAGACGCTTTCCCTAGATGTTCCTTATGTTGGTAGTGACGAACTAGTCATCGACGATGGACTTCCAATATCAAACATTGGCTTCACATCTCTTCTCATACCCTCTCATTGTTTTCGCTTAAATAATGTTCTTCATGTTCCTCCCATGCCTAGAAACATAATCTCCATCTCACAATTGTGTCATTAATGCCTCCATCACGTTCTTACCTAACTTATTTCTTGTGAAGGACATACAAACAGGAGCTACACTACTTTAGGGTCCAACTACTTCTGGAATATATGAATGGCATCCTTTTCGCCCAACCATCAACTACGCTTCTCTATCTACAACCTTCGACTAACATCACAGATTAGGACACTCGTCTTTCTCTGTTGTTAAGAAAATTAGTACTATTTTTAACCTCTCGATTCCAATTTCTCCTTCAAATTGCAATGCATGCGATTGCAATAAAAGTCATAAGCTTTCATTCTCTCAATCTACTATTAGGTCTAATAGGCCATTGGATGTTATTTACAATGATGTATGGACATCTCCTATCTACTCCTATGATGGTCAG